TATTATGTCAATAGACATCTGGTCAATAACTCAGTAAAAATTTCTAGAGTGAAGGAAGAAATGCAGCAGAATCACAAAGCACTTTTTTCGGAGGGGCAACTGAGCCCCGGGGTACAGACTCCAGAAGTTCACTCAATAAAAGTTTTGCCACAAGATCATTTTTGAAATCAGTCTAATTTCCTGAAATCTAGAAACAATTTTTGCATATTTTGGTGCTTCATGCTTGTCATTTTCATAAAAATTTAAAATTAAGATTTGAGATTTGAGCAAAACTTTACTATTTCACATGTCCTAACCACAGCCTTGCTGAAGCAGATGAAAAGAAAAATGGAAGGTCTGCCTACATTATTGTGGAAGCAATAGTAGAATGAATTTCAGATCAAATTTGTAAAACAAATACCGAAGGATCATCTGTGGTTTTCAACCTTTGAAAGCATGTGTCCAGCACTTAGCAAGCTGTACCTCTGTATTGTTGTATTATAACATGTATTTCACACAGTGCTACTATATAACTACCCTCATCTTCCAACTTTGCCCACTTTCTTATGAGCACATACCTTGGGGATTAAAGAAACCAGTCATCCAAAATACATTGGGCCTCCCTTCAAATATCCAAGTAGAAAACTGAGCATTTCTTTCCAGAAGTTCAGTAAACCAGAAGCCCAGTGTGGATGAATCCCAGGACACTCTTTTCCAGATCTGAGGTATGCGAGCATCATACATGTTGTCCAGGGCATCTCTCAAATTCTGAAAAAGAGAAAGTTAAAATATAAGAATGAGAAAAACCAACAAAAGAGGGAAATGACAACTGAGATCATAGCTCACCTCACTCATAATGATTGTTCCTTCAATGGCCAATTTTAGATCACTCAGGCTACTACGAAGGATTGAGATGACTTTTTGCATTCTGTCAATTTCTTGTCTAAGAAATATGTTCATTGAATTAAGATGTCCCATCTTTACCAAACGAGCTTTCACCTTAAAAAAAAAAAACATACAAGAAAGGAATTTTTTTTAATCATCTGTCATTTCTCTTCCAATGACCTCTCCTTTCTCTATTCTTTTCTTCCTCTGGATATAGCTCTACTAGACCAAATGGATTCTAAAATATCTCTTGCAGAACCAAACTTGACATTAAATTCCCCATTTCCAGGTCTCAGAAACTACTGTTCAACTAAAATTGTTTTTATTTCCTACTGATTGTACTTCATTGATAATTGGAAATGTACTTTAAAAAGCTGAAACAAAATTGTACCTTTTTTCCCTTTCAAATGATTAAGTGCTAAGTGTCAGTTACATATTCTTTTGCAATCTAACCTTTGTAAGAGTACAGTTTGGCATGTTTTTTTCATAATGCTTACAGAGTTGTTATTAAAAATGTCACAGAAATTTAATACAGCCAAAATCTTTACAGAGCAGTAACCAATGAATGATTGGTTGCAGCTTCCTAAGATCATTGTTGCCCTGGTTAGTGTGACTAAAGAGAGCCTTTCCTAATCTAATCAATAAAAATATTTGACTTTGTGTGAGAGCCATTAAGCACCTGTCATTTGTTCCTTTTGGTATATCATTTATTGACCATTTTGAAGAGATCAATATAAAAGCATCTGGTCTGGGAATAATAAAATATAACAATTATTGGAAAAAAAGCCAATATATATACACATTTGAATTTAGTGACCTATGCCCAAGAAAAGATTGACTATGGATATTGGCAAGAACTCATACAGAGATCTGAACTTTCTGCTGGCCACAATCAAAGAGATGCCAGTATAGGAGGGGTAAGGGTAGGCATATGGAGTGAGAGAGAATTTAGAGAAATGTATCAGTCCACCAAATCACCAGAAAGCCAGTCAACTGTAGGCTTCTCTGCTGGAAATGCTCACGGCCCCTTCTTGAGTCATGGAATGTTAGAAACGATAGGCTTCAGGCTCATCTGGACCATCCTCCTCATTTTCCAGAACAGGTTTGCTAGCATGATGCTGAAGCGTCCACCTCAGCAATAGACACCCCTGCTTTCCTGCAGTTGGGCCACTTCTAATGAATTAGGGATGAAGAGGGGAAGCACAAACTTGGGGAATCAGTGATATAAAACCGAACATCCAGGGTGGGACTATCTGGGCAGGTAGAGCAAATGATATTGCAATCCCAGTCAAACATGCCGGTGGAGGTCCCTAACCTAGTCACCATACCAACTTTCAGGCATTCTCCTAAATTCCTGGTTCTAGAACTTACATTTTTGCAGGCTCTACCTCCTCATTCTCATCTCGAGCCCTTCAGCCTCCAGTGGCTGAATAGCCTATATATCACCCTATATATGACTAGCCTCTATAGTCAAATCATGACTACTCTGTAGAAATTCACAATGAAGGAAAAAGGAAATTATGGAAATACTTTTGCCACTCCCACAAGTGGGAAATTAAGCCCAGGTATTGGCTACAGTGTCACATCAATAGCCCAGGTACATTTTTAGTATGCTAACAGCCCCAAACAAATCACCTTGCCTTACTTACACGGTTTTAAACGAGAAACTTCTTTTGCAATAGAGACATGCTTAGGAAAAACTTAAACTCTTGAAAATCTAATCTTTGTACTGATTTTATTTTGAATATGGTTATTGTTCCAGCCTAAAATTATCTTTTTATTAATAAGATGAAAGATTTGCTGCAGTCTTACATAGGATTTTCATTATGTTTCTGGGACCAGGTAGTCTCTTCTTTAGTAATGTGGCTCCGTTTTTACTATGGAAGTCAATAGTATAATTATATTTCAATTTACAAAATTCACTTTACAGCCACATTTTCAAGAACACATCTCTCTCTTCTATGAAATAAAGGACACTAAAAGGTAAGTGAGCTTGGAAGAGGAAGCAGTTTTAGATGCCTCAGTACAAACTCCTTCCCATTTAGCAAACCACTTAGCGACATCCCTCACATTCAGTCCCTGCTAGAATATTGCCAGAACAGAGAACTGGGGGAAGTGGCCCTGACCAAGCCTGGATAGCTCAAATTATCCCAAGATCCTGGACCCCTCCTCGGGTAATACCAACCTGTGGTCTAGTCAACCAGAGTGAGTTTTATCTCACCTTCACATGCCAGGTTTTAAAATATTTGAAGGCAGGTTTTATGCCTCATCTGTCTCCTGAAGATCACTTACAATGAACCATTGAAAGTATGTACTTACACTATGTATCCATTTAAAAAAATGTTTTCCCCCCTACTAAAATTATCTCTATGTAAAGCAATGGATTTCAGTATCTTGGCCAAATGCCTTGGTACCCATTTACATAGCAGAGGCAAAAACTGTTTTGAGAAGCAAGAAAATGTTTCTTATTGTTGAGGGTACCCATTGCAGTGGGAGGCCTGTAGCTCAAGCAGCCTCGGGGCCCCCAACTGACAAGTTCATTTTTCCCAGACTTGAGGATGCAAGTCAGGGTAGACACAAAATCATAGTTTTACCAGCACTAGGGCATTAGCCTCTCACTTCTTGTTTGAAGAGTTACACTTGACTCAGTTCCATCTGGGACTCTCTGACCATCAGCAGTGAGGGGTGGAGGCTGAGAACAGGAGAGAGCAGTCCCTGGATGACCAGAGGATACAACCCTGTCTTCTTTCATGAAGAAGGAGGCCAAATTGAAGGACCTTTCGCAGAACTTTTAACCACCCAGAAATTTTACAATTAAAGTTTTTTTTTAGATCAGCAGTTCTCAAAGACCCCTGCAGGCCCTGAGATCCTTTCAGGGGGTCCACCAAGTTGCATGTTTTTCATAGTAATACTAAGACATCACTTGACTTTTTAACTCCTCTTCTCTCAGGAGTGTACAGTGAAGTTTTCCAGAGCTACGTGACATGTGGTGTCACAACAGATCGAATGCAGAAACAGATAGGAAAATCTACCTGCCTTCTGTTAAACAAGGCATTAAAGAGATTTGCAAAAATGTAAAACAATCCCACTATTCTCAATAAATTTTTTTGTCTTGGAAAACATACTTTTTTTAAATAAAAATGTTATTTGTGTTAACATGTAGTGGGGTTTATTACTGTTATTTTACAATAAATTAATAGAGACTTTTGAAATGTGTCTGTTTAAATTTATGATATATTAAATATCAGTAGTTATAACCCACATAAATAAAAGCTATTTGGGGTCCTCAGTCATTTCGTAAAGGGGTCTTGAGGTTAAAAATATTTTGAGAAAAACCGATTTAGGTTAATAGGCAAACTGGGAGGTTCAAGAAGTAGAAAATTATTGCCATCCACATGGGGAGTGAATTCATTTAAATGGCTTGCTTTCCTGGCTGGGAGAATTGAGAGACTAGAAGGGGGGAGCAGAAGACAAAAACAAGGAATGAGTTTAAATAATGGACAAAGCAGGCTTGGGTGAAAGAGGTGGAGAGATGTTTCCAGCCTAGAGGCGTAAGATGTCTGGGGATGCAAAGATAGAGGAATCCAAAGATGGGAAAAGGGTAGAGAAAAGGTGATTGAAGAGAACATGGAGTAGGAGATGGATGGAGAAAGGTGTCAGGAAAAGTGCAGATCATAGTTTGCAAGATGCTTGAGAAGGGGCAAGGAAGAGAAGACCACAAGGTTAAAAGAAAGAGTTGCAAAGGAAGTGGGAATGAGCAGAGCAGGGAGGGAGTGAAACTTACTGTCCCAGGACCATGCTAGGTTTTGTGGAACCCAAAGACAGCCCTGTACACACCAGGGGCAAAGTGTGTAGCTTACCTCATGAGGAATGTAATCAGGAGGCAATTTGCTCAGCATATCTTCAGATAATCTATAAACGATGGCTTCCCGGGTCTCTCCCACACCGCCTCCGCTCTCTTTGGGTTGAATGTTGGTAATTGTTTCAAGAACAGCAGAAGCAGTGTTACTCTGATACCTGATAAAAGAGTGAACTTTTCAGAATGTAGCAGGAAAATGTATGCTCAGAGATAATTATCAAAGCTAAAATGAACTGATAAGATCACTTAAAGCCAGACAGAAAAAAGAGGGGGGAAAAGGAAACTTTACCATCAACCCACAGGAATGAAAAAAACTAGAGACCCATTCTACTGCCTCCTAACAAGACATCAAGAACATCACAGAAAAGAAAGGCTTTCCATCTTCAGGGAAAGAGATTCCACAAATGTCTTTGGTAATCCAAAGCAATACTATCCAATTTTGCTTGTCACTAGCCTACGATCCTCATGTTGGACAATGAACACAACTCTTTTTATTCTCTCCCAGTTATAGACTGGTTGTAAGAATCTATAATTACATGAAAATTTGTTAGATCAAAGAGGATCACTCATATTTCTTCTATGAATTACACATTATTAAAATTTCTTTGGTATTTTCTCTTTTGTTTTCTCACTTTCCCACTTTTGTTTTATGATTTCCAAAGTAATCTATTGGCATCCATCTGTTCCACTTGTCTAAATGCAGCCACCCATATTTAAAATCCATGTATCCAATACAAATTTATTATGTACCAGGCACTGAGCTAGGTGCTACAATATGGCAGTAAACAGATCCTTGCCTTGGTGCCCCTCTCTATCTAGTGGAAGAGGGGTGCATTTGTCAATACGGCTGTAATACATGCTTTGGAGGAAAAGAACAGGATGCTTTAAAAGAGAGTAATCTGTCTGTATCTCTCTCTTGCTTTTGTTCTCACTCTCTAGATCTCTTCTGCGTCAACCAGACGCTCTGAGAGGCACAAACGTAGTTTTTGTCTTGAAGTGGCTGGGCGTCGACACACAGATGGTGTGTGTGCATGAGTGTGAGAGTCAGTAGGATAGTAAAGTCCCCTACTATTATTGTATTGTATTATATTGTACTATCGTTCTATTGTTGTATTGCTGTCAGTTTCTCCCTTTTGGTCTGTTAGTATTTGCTTTATATATTTAGGTGCTCCTATGTCGGGTACACAAATATTTACAAATGTTGTATCTTCTTGTTGATTTGACCCTTTTATCATTATTTAATGACCATCTTTGTCTTTTATTACAGTCTTTGTTTAAAAGTGTATTTTGTCTGATATAACTACCCAAGTTTTCTTTCAGTTTCCATTTACATAAAACAGTTTTCATTCCTTCACTTTCAGTCTGTGCATGTCCTTACATTTGAAGAGAGTCTCTTGTAGGCAGCATGGGTCTTTATTTTTGTTTTTGTTTTTTAAATCCATTCAGCCACTCTATGTTTTTTACTGGAGAATTTAGCCCATTTACATTTGAAGTAATTATTACTAGGTATGTGCTCTATACTATTTTGTTCATTGTTTTCTGGCTGTTCTTTAGTTCTTTTCTATTCCTTTTCTCTTCTCCTGCTCTTCCCTTGTGGTTTGATGACTTTCTGTAGTGTTACGGTTAGGTTCCTTTCCTATTATCTTTTGTGTATCTACTATAGACTTTTGCTTTGTTAACCATGAGGCTCACATATAACAGCCTATAAATATAACAGTCTATTTTAAGTTGATAGCAAATATGTAAATAGGCATTTTCACAGGACGACTGAGGTGTGTTTTAGTCCACTGTGTGTGCCACGCCTTGGGGGTGGCAACGTATCAAGAACTGTGGCTCCAATTGTTTCAGGCCTGTGGGGCCCAGAAATGCAAGCACCCCTGGCTACCAGGGCCAGGCATGCAAGGGACGCCCTCTGTGTGGGCTGCATGTGTCTATTGGCTTTAGCAGGGCCACAGGAGCCACTGGGGTTGGGACACTCCTACCAGAACTAGTAAGGCAGAGGGAGAACACAAAACTGGTGCGAACCAGTACCTCCATCCCTAGCAAGAGTCCCAATAGGTTCCTGTCCCTCTAGCAGAGGCCTTACGATTAGCAAATGAATCTCCTTCACATATGATCTAAGTGCTTTTCAAACTGCTGCTTTTGCTTTGAGTCCCAGGGGTGAGTGAGTCTGCACATGAGCCCTGTAACAGCAGGATATTAATTCCCTACAGCCCTTTGGGGTTATCTCCTAGATATAAGCCCCACTGGTTTTCAAAACCAGACCTTTTGGGGGTTTGACTCTCTGGTACAGGTCCCAAGGGTTGGAGTTCCTGATGTGGGGCACAATCCCCTTGCTTCCCAAGGAGAAGCTCTGTATTTATGAGATCCCTCCCAGTTATATATCACTGTGCCAGGGGTGAGGTTTCCAGTGAGATGACATTCTGCCTCTCCTACCCACCTTGATGTAGCCCTTTTATACTTCACTATGGAACAGCTACTCAGTTAGTTTTCAGGTCTTTTTCAGAAGGAATTGTTCTCTATGTAGCTGTAGATATGGTGTGTCTGTGGGAGGAGTTTAGTTCAAGATCTGCCTATGCTGCTAACTTGAACTGCCTCTTCCTGTGAATTCTTAATTCACCAGGTTTGTAGCATTATTTAACATTCATTCATATTACTTATATGAATTTAAAATCCTCAAGCTAGAAATTTATTTTAAGGTGTTTCCAGGAAGTTTCAGGTGGCAGCTGGTCGAACCAACACACACCTTTCCTGGAATAATGTGCCTACAACCAGGTCTCAAAGAATCCAACAGTTAACTCCCAATAGACATGAGTTCACAGTCAAAAATTAAAAATTCATAAAGAAACAAAGCAAGAACTCTTATTCTGAGCAAGAGCCAGTAGAAACAACAGAAAGCAGAACCAGACCTGCAAAGATCATAGATAATAAATTTTCAGATGCATGTTATGAAGATGTTTTTACTATATCAGAGAATAAAAAAGGATGATTTAAAATATAAGTACGAAACAGGAAACTCCAAACATGAATAGCATATGTGAAAAAGAGCCAAATAGAACTTTGGGAAATTTTAAAAAATATTAAAATTGAAAAACAGTATTAGTTTTTTATTGCTGCTGTAACAAATTACCACAAAATAAGTGTCCTGGGGCCCAGCCTGGGTGGCTCAGTCAGCTAAGCATCTGACTCTTGATTTCAGCTCAGGTCATGATCTCAGGGTCGTGGGACTGAGCCCAGCATCAGGCTCCATGCTCAGTGTGGAGTCTGCTTGAGAATCCTTCTCTCCCTCACCCTCTGCCCCTCCCCCCACTTGTGCCCTCTCTCTCTGTAAATAAATAAAATCTTTTTAAAAAGTAAGTGTCTTAAAACAACATAAATTTATTATCTTACAGTTCTGTAGTTAATAAGTCTGACATAGGTTTCACCGGGCTAAAATAAAAATGTCAGCAAGGCTGAGTTCCTTTCTGTAGGCTATTGGGTAAGATCCATTTCCTTGCTCATTTGAGTTATTAGCAGAATCCACTTTCTTTCTGAGGTCCCCAATTCCTTGCTAGCTGCCCATGACAATGGCAGGTCAAGTCCCTCTCTCACTTTGCATCTTTCCTCCTGATTCCATTTCATCTCTGTGACCCATGCTTCTGCCTTCATCTCCCACTAGTTCATGTGATTAAATTGGGTCCACTTTGACAATCTAGGATAATGTTCCCATCCCAAGATCCTTACCCTTAAGAATATCTGTAAAGTCCTTTGTGCCATATAAGGTAACATTTATACAGGTTCTGGGGATTAGGATGTGGATATCTTTGAGGGTTCATTATTCTGCCTACCATAAAAGTTAACAATGAGTCAAACAGCAGTTTAGACTCAACGAAGAATTAGGAAACTGGAAAAGAGATCTGAAGACATTATGTAGAACACTGCAGAGGAAAACAAATGGGAAATATGAAAGAGAGGTTAAAAGACATATAGGATAGAGTGATAAGTTCTAACGTACATCTCAGGAGATCTTCAGAAAGATAGAAGGGAGAAAATAAAAAAGAAATAATACGGGATGAAATAACAACTGGGGATTGATGAAAGAGTTGAATTCTCAAGTTCAGGAAATTCAGTGCCTCCTAAGTAGTTTGAACAAACAAACAAATAAATAGAAATCCAGATGTAAACATATCACAATGAAACTGTAAAACACCAAAAACAAAGTGGATATCTTAAAAGCAACCAGAGAGAAAAACAGACTATCTAGAAAGAAATGTCAGTAAGACTGATGGCCAATCCTCAACAGCAGCATTGGAAGCCAGAAGAAAATGGAAAAGTGTGTTGCACATGTGAGGATAAAATAACTACAAACCAAGAATTGTATATACCAAGCAAAATTACCTTTCAAGAAGGAAGGCAAGACAAAAGATTTAAATAGATATTTTACAAAAAAGGCTACATTAATGGCCAATAAACACATGAAAAGATGTTCATTTATTAGAAAAATGCAAATTAAAACCAGTGAGATATCACTTCACACCTACAAGAATGATTATAATAAACAACAGACAATAACAAGCATTGGCAAGAATGTGGAGAAACGAACACTCATACGTTGTTGGACAGTATTGTGAAGTGGTGTAGCCACTTTGGAAAATAATCTGGCAATTTCTTAAAATGTTAAGAATAGATTAATCATATGATCCAATAATTATATTTCTATTTATCTATTGAAGAGAAATGAAAAGACATATCTACACAAAGACTTGTACATGAATGTTCATAGCAGCAAAAAACAGAAACTACCCAAATGTTCATCAGCTTCTAAATAGATAAACAAAATGTGGTACATTCATATATTGAGATACTGTTTGGCAATAAAAGCAATGAAGTACTGGTACATTTTACAACATGGGTGAGCTTCTAAAACATTATACTAAGTAAAAGAATCCATCCACAAAAGACCACCTAGTATATGATTTCAGTTATAGGAAATTCCCAGAAAGGCAAATCTATAGAGAAAGAAAGTAAATTAGTGGTTGCCTGAAGCTAGGGGTGGTAGCAGGAATTGATTACAAATGGATATAAGGATTCTTTTGAGGGGTGATGGAAATATTCTAAAATTAGATGGTGGTGATAGTCACAAAAACCTGTAAACTTAGTAAAAATCATTAAATTGACC